TAGGAGGGGAAACGTGAGAGATTTTCCTCAAATGAACAGAATCAACCTTTGAATTCATCAGGGCCTCAAGTTCATCAATTATTTTCCAATAGAATGACTCTGACTTTCCACCTATATCCAAAAATATATACATTCGTGAAAAACAGAATAAAAAGGATAAGCATTTAATAATATAGTAGATATAAATTATATAAAATACTTTCAAGGCAATATACCTTTTGACTTTATGGGGGAAGCAGTCATTCCAAATATTCTTGGAAGTTCAGCTGCATCAGAATGTAGTTGACGATGAAAGAAGTCCTGCACATCAGCCAAATCCTTCAAGCATTAAAGCATGCACTGTAAACGCAACAATATCATGAAGAAGAATCAACACAAATAGGGAACATTAACTTTCAGTTAGTTTTTTGCATTGCTAGTGTGACGTCACATTGCCACAGAACAAATTACTAAGAACTAATCAATGTTCAAGCAGGTTTCCCATGACGATATTATAAATATTTTGGCAATGAACAAAAAGTTAACAAATAAATGATAGACAGCTCACCTTCATTATGCAAGCATATGGGTGGTTACCCCTCGCATGATGGCATTCATCGAGAATCAAAACCTTTATCATGCTTAGTTTGAAGAAGCTATGCCTCAAATTACTAAGCAGTATTGCAGGAGTCATCACGAGCACCTACAGTTATAAAGCTAAAAGTTAAAGAACATATTGTTTGGCATATGTTAACAAATATCACACAATTCTCTACTCTTGATTCGCGAAAATACTAAACACCCGTTTGACAGAGGAAAAACTGAAAATTTGAAGCACTGATCATGTCCCTTGGTAATTTGGGAAGCTGGTTTACCAACTGCTTCACAGTAACTGTCATTGGCTGTTTTTTATCAGGCATTTTAGACATTTAAGAAACATGTTCAAGCCACTTTTAAAAGATTTTTTTGACTGCTATATTCCTTTTAGAAAACATCAGATGGCTTTTGGTCATCAAACAGTTATCAAATAACACAATTTGAAAACCAAAAAATATGAAACAAATCAAAGCAGCCAAAAACATGATGTTCAAAACTAAATCACATGAAATGTCCAAATGAGCTGAGTAAATATGGCAGCTTCTAAAATAAAATAACATAAGACATTTGCAAATATATGTTATATACGTATGAAAGAAAAAGTCAAAACTCCCACCTCATATTTTTCTATTTGTTGCTTCCACATATCAGCTTCCCAGAAGTCAACTCCCATGTCTCCCCAATACATTCCCACTTTCAAGTCAGTGTGCATTTTCACAGCCTCAGCTTGCTAATATTGTAAGACACAGCAAGAATAAGAGGAATGTAGAACCTTAGCTCTAAGCCTTTCTCAGATATATCTAAGGATCCCAAAAATCTATTATCCGTGATATATCAGGAATAGGAAATTTAGAGATTCTTTACTTTAGTCTAAAATAACTACCATAGAACAAGTACATTTTTCAATGTTCAGCTCTTAGTGAAAAATACCAAAAGCGATATCAACAATTCGCAGAATACTTGCATAAATATGACAATATCTAACTTATAAATATCAGGTGTGAGTGCCCAAAACACACACACACACACACACACACAGAGGGACAGAGAGTTGTAAATTGCATACTTGTTTAACCAAGACAACTTGAGGAACCAAGAAGACGGCAACGAATGGAGAAGGCTTGCGAAGCATATATGCATAGCTCCGGAGAAGCATGATGGCAATCAGAGTCTTTCCAGAGCCAGTCTCCAAGAACACTATTGTGTTCTGCTTAATTGCTGCCTCTAATGCTTCTAGCTGGTAACTGTAAGCAATCAGAAATATATAAATTTTAAAATTGAAGGAAAATAAAAAATGCAGGACTCATAAATTCATTAACCCTTCCTTTTGAAAGAAAACTCATTCTTTTGGTTTCCTTCCTGATTAACCAAACAATCAAGAAGCAAACTGAGGGCAACCACAATCTATATATGAATTGAATGAAATTGTAATTTCTTAACGAATAAAGAAAGCATCCATTCTCCTCATCCTACTCCTTTTCCTTCATTTTTCTCACCAACCAAACAATGAAAAGAAAAAGAGGAAAAAATAAAAATCAACCTTCTGGCGAATGGGAGAGGATCAGCAGATAGTTGGGTTCCGTCCATCTCCATGTCAACTGGTTCCGTAGCTTCTGCCGACATCATTTCACTGAAATTCCAAAAAAAAAAAAAAACAAAGGCATTTGTTTAGAGACTCTCACTTTCTCTGTTTCTCACGGACACTTACGAGTAACTAAAACATAAATGAAAAGCCAAAAAAATAAGAAAGAAGTTGAAAAGAAACAGCAATGTGGGAAAGGCTAAGGCCAAAGCCATGGCAGAAGAAGGGAGGCTCAGGCACTCACCTCACACTCACAGAAAGTGATCCAAGCAGAGGCTGAGAATGATGTAAGAGTTGAGTAAGAGAGTGTGTGTGTGTGTGTGTGTGTGTGTGTGTGTGTGTTGTGTTGTGTTGGAAATGTAAATAAAGAAGAAGAAGCTGATTCTGAGGGACTGGAAGGAAGGCAAAGTATCTGTATGAGATTTCTGGGGGAGGGGGATTGATTACATCAGAATTTAATAAAGTGAAGAGGGAAGAGCCCGTGATGATGCTAAGTCGCCTACCTTCGACAACTTACTGAGGAAGCAGCCCCTTTCCCTCCTGTAACTTCATCCTCATTCAAATATAGAGTTAGAGAGAGAGAGAAGAGAGGGAGAGAGAGAGCGAAAAAGTTCCTTGGGTTCTTTCCTTCTTCCTGCCTAAATTCTCTCTCTTCTTGGGGAAGGGAAGGACTTTGTAGGTCCCTCCCCTGGTCTTTGGAACGAAGAAGGGTGATGTATGATGTTGTGTCATTTTGGTACACTGTATTATACCATGAATAAGCGTAAATAATTCATGTCAACTTATATTATTTAATTAGCTGATTATTTTAAACGGATTGGACTTCTAATACCCTACTAATTAATATAACAAACACATCCTGGTTTAGATAATACACACTTAATTATACAACTAAGGAAAAAGAACACATACGTTCCCGTGAAAAATTCGACGACGCTATTTTCATCCCCAATATGTTTCTTCTTTCTTTTTCTTTCTTTATATATTTCCTCTTTTATTAAATCTTTGTGGAAATTACGTTATGAGTTTTTCCTTTTTAAAATTTTTTTCTTCTTGCTGTATTGGAACAATACATGCGACTTTTTCTTTATATATTTATTTTCTCCAGGTATCCAACTTAATAATCAAATTATCATTCCAAGTCAGCGATTAGAACAATACATGCGGCTATGTTTTTCTTGATTTTTTTTTCTTTCTACTTTTGGTGCTTTGTTGGTTTGTCTTCTGGTTATTTCCATGTTGCTACTGCTGGCTGTTGATTCTCTTATTGCCTTCTTTTGTTGGGCTTCAATATTTTCTCTTTTTTTTCTTAATTTTCTCATCAGCAGTCAGGGTGTCAATAAGAAATGTCAGAGGCAGATCAAAAGTATGAATGCTAGGGGCCAAATCAACACTCTTTGCATGCCAAGGCATTCGCAACAGCAGAGTCGTCCCTGAGATTTTGAGGGCCTTGTGCGAAACTTAAATTGAGACCTCACATAATATAATACGAAAATAAATAAATAAAAATTTCTCATAACTTAGTGTCATAAACAATTTTTTTATAACTAAAAGTCACAATGAATAAATATGTAATGACAATTATAAATCAAATTCATTAAAAAAAAAAATGTTTCTATTTGATAAAATTAAATGTTTGGTACAAAAATAAACTCCTTGTGCTCCTACAAGGTCCCTTGTTGGCTCCAACAAGCAATCTGTGTTTAATAGGAAAAAAAAAATTGGCAATCACAAATTAAAGAGTAGTTGCACACAAATTCCTGAAATTTGAATTTGACTATTTGATTTTGAGTGGTCTTTATGAATTTAGGAATTAGAATTTTCTCTTTTTGGTGTTGAAATTCCTGAAATTGAAAGAATAAAAAAAAATTGTCATAGGATTGAAAAAAACAAAAAACCAAAGAGAGATTGATGAATGATGATGATTACTTACAAGAAAATCAGAGTTTAAGAGAAAGAAGAAGCCATGAAGTTTTTTTTGTTTTGTTTTGAATGAAGAAAGTACTTTTCTTAGAGGAGAAAACATATTTTTTTTAAAGAACAATCGATACGTAAGGAGTAGAAATTGTTTGGGGATATATATACTCCTCCTGTGGTTAGTTTTTTTTTTTTTTTTTAAATTTATCCAGGCCTCCTGTGGTTAGCTTCGATGTTTCCTTTTATTTCAAGGCTTTTTGTTTATTTATTTAATTAATAATTAGGTAAAGTTTTTAGTTATAATGCAAAAATAATATAAAAACAGCAAATAGACCAACTTCAACAAGAATCTAACTATGGCGCTCCGTTAAATGGACAAGCGCTGGAGCCAACTTCACAAGACACGCCCTTGTGCAAAAGTCTAGCACGATATACTATATATACAATTATTATAAATATATATAATATTTATAAAAAAAAAATTGGGGGCCCTGGGCGGTGGCGCCAATTGCACCCCCCAGGGCCGCCCCTCAGTATTCATCTCAAGATAAATATGACGGACAGCGCAGCTCCAATCACCATGAATCTTTAATTTGCAGCAATTGATGATATTAGAGCGCGGATGGTTGGTGTTACTTACCCCAGAGAAGAGGCTTTGAAATTTTGTTTGAGTGATATCTTTTTGTTTTTTGTTACTTTATACTTCACAAGAAAGCTTTCTTATGCTTTTGGTTCCGTAATGATTTTGATTTTCCTTCTTGGTGATTTTCCTTCTTGGTGTTATTCATGCTTGATTTGTCCCCGACACATCTTTTATTTCATTTCTCGTGGTTTGTTCGTAGTCCAACACTGTTCATTTTACCACCCCACCCCCAACACACACAACAAAGACCCAATGTAAAAGAAAGGTGCAACATATCTTTTGAATTCAATGGGCTTTCAGAAGCACGCAACTATTTCTTAAATGGTGGGTAAATTTACAAGACCACATTGTCTACCTCCTCCTGATCCAACACAAGATTTTACAATACAATTCAAAGCATGTGATGTGCCAACCCAAATCTTATATGCTGAATTTTCATAATTAGCTAGTAGGAGTAGGAGTAGCTACACCTACACTACACCTGCAGCAGTCACCTTCATACTGTATTTGTGTTTGAGGTAAGCTTTAATGTAAGGCTCTAAATCACCATCCATTACACAAGTGATATCCGACGTCTCGTATCCTGTCCTTACATCCTTCACCAGTTTATAAGGATGGAACACATAATTTCTTATTTGTTGGCCCCATTCTGCCTTCACTACATCTCCTCGTATTTGCTTAATCTCTGATGCCCTTTGCTCCTCAGCTATCACTAACAGCTTCGCTTTCAACCTGCTTAGAGCCTTTATTTTGTTTGCAAGCTGGGATCTCTCTTCTGCATTGTAGTCAAATAAGAAATAGATGTCATGTGGTTGTGCTTTCAATCAGATGAACTATAATACAAAGTTAATAACTGAACAAGTGGATGGTTAATGGTGAAAACTAAAAACAAACTATGGGGCTAAGGGAACCTGTGCAGCGAACAGTAACACCAGTGGGGATGTGAGTAATCCGGACAGCGCTTTCAACTTTGTTCACATTCTGCCCTCCTTTCCCGCCTGCCCTTGAAAAACTTATTTCCAGGTCCTCCTCAGGTAAATCAACTTTCAACGACTCTTCAGGTAGAAGAGGCATGACGTCAATACCAGAGAAGCTTGTCTGCACGTAACTTCGAGTTAGAACATACAATAGGATATATGCGGCAACTCCACCCCCCTCCCTTAAAACCCCACACACCCTCGAATGTATGTGTGTGAATATACACCTGGCAAAGACCTCTGGCATTATATGTTTAATAATTTATAGTTTACAAGATAGATACCTGGCGAAGACCTTTGGCATTAAAAGGGGACTGCCTCACAATGCGGTGTGTTCCTTTCTCCCCAGACAAATACCCATAAGCATAACGACCTTCAACTTCGATTGTCGCTGACTTAATTCCAGCTTCCTCTCCTTGGGACTTCTCAACTACTCGTGTCTTGTATCTCTGCTTTTCTCCCCACCTCACATACATCCTGAGTAACATTTCAGCCCAATCCTGCACTGAGAATTATCAAAGGTTTACAAGAAAAACATAAGCATATAACTGAGAAAAGTTTTGTGAACTAACCTGGACATGTTATAACTTATAAATAACATATGATCGTAAAAATACACACATGGTTGATCCATCAATTTTTGGGCTATATCTAATGTGTTGAGACTTTTACCTTATATACTTCTCATGTGTTAAGTCCTTCAGGGTCAGGATATTCACATAAAAATCAGATGACTACTCAGAAAAAATAATCGGCTAACAGAATGGAACCCTTAGTAAATTGGAAGTAAAAAAAAACAACCACAAAGCACATAATGGCGCTTTAGATTTCATTAAAGCCCTAAAGAGGAATACAAGAAAGATCCTATGGGAGTTAAATTTTGGTTTTGATAGAAACGGAACTAGTGTGGCGCTATCAAGGCTAAACATTAACATGGGGACATGGCCTGTAACCATATGAAAATGAACTTCCTCTAACTTTACCACCACCATCAAAGGACCAAGCAGAAGTCCAGCCAAAGAAATGAATAGTGGATGCCAATTCAGTCATTGCTGAAAATATCTTAACTAGCCCCATGCAGTATTCTCGGCAGTAGTAACATACTGGGGTAAACTACTTCTGGTCAACTATGAACCAGATAGCTGCCTTTTATATTTCTGAAAGAATTTCATTCATGAACAATGCAATATTCTTGGTCGAAATGGTAAACTCACCACCTATATATGCATCTCGCAGAAGGTAACATTTCCATTAAAGTAATATAACCCAAAGAACTTGTTGCTCTTGCTTTTTATTATTCTAATTACCTGTGCATCAGTTCCTCCAGCACCAGCTGTAATAAAGATGACAGCACCTTCTTTGTCATAAGGCCCAGAAAGAAGTTGAGTTAACTCAAACTGATCCAATCCCTTGTTCAATTCCTTGATGATACTGGCAGCCTCTTCAAGAAGTCCATTATCTACAGAGTCCATCTCTTCAGTTAGCTTGACTATTGTTTCTGCATCTTCAACCTGCATCCAATGTATTTTATCCACAATGCAATTTAAGAGGAGGTCACTTTCTGATATTCAATATCTGCAAATGGGTAAATATATGTAGAGTAAATTAGTAATGATCTCCTACTAGATAGTCTGATGTTGTACTGTCTGGCAAGAGAGCATTACTATAAAATGTCACCAAAATACTATAAAATGTCATCATATTAAAACACTTCATAACTAATTATCGTCATATCACGCTAAATGTCATCATATTAAAACACTTCATAAATAATTATCGTCATATCACACTTCAAGCATACTCCAATTATCCTGAAAAACAAGCATGACGCCATGGCACCCCAAAAAAAAAAAAAAAATTATGCGAAAACAATATTCTAAACGAAATTTAACGAAATTTGTGCACTGACCTGTGATTTGAACTCATTCAGCAATCTTATCCTGTCTTTAACATCAGTCAGGGCCGAAAGGTTTTCTTGAGCTTTAGCTCGGTCATCCCAAAAGGAGCTATCAGCTGCTTTCAACTCCAAATCTGCAACTTCTTGTTCTAACTGTTGCAGACAGGCAGAATCTCTTATCTCTTTAACACGTTCCGCCATGGTTTCAACATCTCTTCTTAAGAAATAAAAATCTGTGAGAGATAAGATGAAATTATGACATTGTATGATTGATGTGTAGATGCAAGTAGTAACGTCCTTACACCAAACTCCTGATTGCAAGCCACAGTTTGCATATAAAGGAAAATAAATAACAGCATATGCATGATATACAGCATCTTGCTTAAATGGTAAGACAACACTGCAATTTAAGTTCGAAATTCATGCTCCAAAATATGCAGACAGAATAAGTATGCCAAATAAACACAACGTTCCTTGATTTTCAATACTCAAAACCAAGTGTGCCCACACACAGAGAGAGTTCAGGGCATTTAGGCATTGTCAACCGAAGAGAAAAGGAGATTAACCTCTCATTGCTCAAGCATGCTCTAATTCAATATCAAACTTAAATTCTCCAAACAGACCTTGCATTGCCCATTCTCTTGTGTCGGTGTTGAGCCCCGTGCTTACTTGACTCTCCGGTGTCGCAAGTAAAACTGAGTCAAATCAAACATCAACTGTAAAACAACTTGAACAACCCGAAATTGAAAATTTGAAGAATCATAATTTTCTACAATAACCATTATAATCATATGGATAAACCAATGAAAACCCAGCAAGGAAAGTAATGAAAATACATAAAACCAATGAAGCTCCTGTGGGCACATATAATCTCTCACACTCACAAAATAGAAAAATAGAACAAACGCAATATACTCTCGCATAAGTTCCACCATAAAGCTCCAAATGGAAACACAGAGAAAGCAAAACCGACTAACACAAGACAAGTACGTAAATTGAAAAGCTCAAACTAACGCACCAGTGGGAGGAAATCGACAATAGCTTGAAAGCTTTGTAGAGACAGTGTACCAAAAACGAGAAGTATACGAAGTGGGCCTTTGTAGTAACTGTGGTAGTTTGCTATTTGGAGGCTTGGGGCATAAGATGGCTGTTGGGCTGCAGAGAGGTCTCAGATGAGCCTCCATCGCTGTGGCTTCGGCTTCAACTTTGATTAGGGAATAGCTGATAGAAGTTCGAATCCTGGAGGAATAAAAAAAAAAAAACAGACGAACCAAAATTCGTATTAAATAAATAAATAAAAACTATAGAAATGTTTGTCTGCTATGGATAAAGAAAGTCATCCTACGCTTTGTGTGGTGTTTGGGTTTTGCATCGAGTACCCATGGGTTAAGGGCAAAATCTAACCATATTATGTAACGTGTGGTATAATCGTGACATCATCAAGTCCACAATTTAAAAGTGATTTTGGATAGACCAATAATTATTTATTTATTTAATCACTTTAGTGATTTTAAGTGATTTTATGAATAAGCACCTCTACTTATACGGAGAATCACTTTTTATGTCATTCTCCCTATAATCACTTAAAATCACTTAAATGGTTATATAGAGAAGCACGTGAAAGGTGCTTCTTTCCAAAAGTGATTATGACCTTACAAGAATCACTCCCAAACAAACTTTCATATTCAAGCTATAAAATATGTGTGATTTTATTGGCACCATATTATTTGCTCTTTACACCCCATACTAATTTTAAATATGAATAATCTATTTTACCCTTGTACACAATTACTGTTAAGGGCAAAAAAAAAAAATTAAAATTAAAATTGCTCACTACACCCCACATATGTTCCTACAACCCTAGTTTGATTTTTTTTTCAAACTATCATGTTCCTAAACCCTAAACCTTAGATTTATACGTTTATACTGGTGAAAAAATATCTTGTATTTATTCATGAAGGATGAGATTGAAGTTAGAGAGGCTTCGAATGAGGTACGAGTTTATTTTTTGGTGTTTTGCAAGTTTAGTATTTCATAATGGTCGTTGGTTGTGTTCAGCACATCAGTATCGAACGCGACAGGTAAATTCTGTGGGATGCCACCAAAACGTTGCACTGTTTTCAGTTGGATTTGACCGGTTATGAACTTAATATTCGGTGGAGATCTACTGTAAGATGGAACGTAGTTCAGTGGTTCACTACCGAACTTTTACCTGCGTTTTAGTGGCATCCAAACCGAAATTTATTTATTTTTCAGTAACTTATTGCCGACCACAAATTTAATCCAAGCTATTTTGATCTTACTCCTATTGAAGGAACAAAAACAAGGAGACACCCCTACTGAAGGCAATAATGTGGGAACAGAATGTGTAATGGACTATAGTGATCAATTCACAACTTATTCGGTAATTATTTGTTTGAAATCCTTTTTAGTATCATTAATTTTTTCAAATTTTATATTTAAATAATATGAGTTTTATGTGTAGATATTCAATGGTAGAGATGCATTACTTAGATGGGCTCGTGAACAAGGAAAAATGAATAATATTGTCATTGTAATTAAAAGGTCTGATTATGGAGGTGATGGCAAGAGGAGATCTCGTGTAATACTTGCTTGTGAGAGGAACAGTAACTATAAATCTTGCAAGTCTAATGAGACAACTAATATAAGGTCGGATGCAAATAATGATATGAAACAATATGCTAAGGACACTGATACCAAGAAATGTGGATGCCTATTCTTGTTAAAAAGTGTCAATATTGGTGATGGGGATGATTGGAAGTTGGAGGTGGTTTGTGGAATACACAACCATCCTATTTCAGAGTATCTTCAAGGTCATTCATTTGTGGGGCAACTTTCTGAATAAGAGAATGTCTTATTGGTGGACATGTCTAAGAGTTTGGTGAAACCCAAAGATATTTTGGTCACCATTAAAGATAGAGATGCAATGAATGTTTCAACTAAGGTCTTAAATATAGATAGTTTCAGAAATATCGGTGGTTCAAAAACACGGAAAATATCGATGGAAATATCGGAAAAATATCGATATCGATAAAAATTGGATAAAAACCATGGAAATTGTGATAAATACATGGAAATTTTTAATGAAACTTTAGAAGAAGTTTATTTAGTCAATCATCTATTATTTTGACACAAAAAATTGGAAAGAAATGCATTGCATAGTGGGTTTGAGTGATTTAAGTTGATTATATTGCGAGCTAACAAACTCTGTGACTTAGAAAATATGGAGTAATTAATGAAGAGAATTAAACACCTCATAGTAATTTATTTATCATTTTTTAGTACAATATTTTACACTTTATAAATTGCATGGTAAGATACACGTGTAACCTTATTTCACATTATTCATTGGACACGGTACACATTCTTATATTTATTATTTATCAAAAATTGAAAAATAATTAAACCAACTTGACTTTTCATGAAAATTAGGCATTTTCCCATACTTAAAAAATAATAGTGAAGATTGAAAATTAACTAAGAACATAAATAAATTTATCAAAGGAAGAATTAAGTAGTAAACAAAGAAAATAATTATAGAGATTTAAGTAATTAAGCAACAATTTGAAGGGGAATTTAGTAATGTAAGTACTTATAATGAATAATAAAATAATCAATAACATTAAATGGATTAAATAGAAAAGAAATAAATTATATTAAGTAATTAAGTAACTGTTTAACAATATAAAACAATAAGTAATTATGTTAATTTATATTTTGAGAAATAGCTCGCATGTATTATAAATACATATTCCATAGCTTATTATCACAAAGTGATGACTGGCGTGATGGTTAAGTGGCTGCATACCTTAGAATGGGAAAGGGGTTTGAACCCCTACATGCGTGAAGTGAGTTTTCTTTAATTTTTGAATGTTCAGATCGCGATATTATCGATAATATTGACCATTTGCAGCTGCCACGTGAACGAAAATATCGTTATCAAAATATCGGCGAAACTATCGAGGAAATTATCGATAAATTAACGAGATATATATGAAAATGTGCTAAAATATCGCTGCCTCAAAAAAACGATAATTTCGCCAAAATATTGGTTTCAACTATGAAGACAATATACAATGCTAGGATCAATGGAAGGAATATTGGAGTTTTCATCAGTCACTCCTAAGTACTTAAATAACAATTCAAAATTTGTGTCGTCATCATCTCCAAGAGGAGCAACCACTGCACCAGATACATGAATGTCTAAAATAGATGATACATCATACAATGTGATGGTCATCTCACCAAAAGGCATGTGAAAGGTGTTCGTTTCAAGATGCCACCTCTCAACAAATGTAGATACCACAAGACTTACTTGGTTATTCCAAATTGCAGCTGTTATGTGAGTTTTAAAACTCGTAAGTAAAGATGGATCAATAGGACCTACTCAAGATGGCTCAGTAGGCTCGGCATGTACCTAAACATTACTATCCTGAGTAGCAGCTACATCTTCAACCTCTGCGTCAACATTACTATCATGAGTAAGAACTACATCTTCAACCTTTGTGGTATCCTCAAAGTGATCTTGGGGAGCCGCTCTCTGTCTCCTCGTTGAGGCCATGGGACGCTGTCTATTAGGTCGAGATGATGAAGCCTCAGTAGTACCTCTGCGAGTCCTCTTCATATCTGAAAACAAACAATATTAAGTACACACTCAGTAACGTATTCGGTAGATGATCACTAAAAAACGGAAATAAATTCGGTGGACTATCACTGAAAAAATAACACATATTCGGTGGAGTACCACTGAAAAATCGAAATAAATTCGGTGGGAGTCTCCTGAAAAATAGAAACAGATTCGGTGGACTACCACCGAAAACAATAACAATTTCAGTGGTAACCCACCGAAAGTAAAATAAATTTTTGTACAACTCAGGTTCGAATTCTGTGGACTATCATCGAAGCAATGTAACCATTTCGGTGGTAATCCACCGAAACTAGAATCCAGTTTCGTAAAACCAGGTTCAAACCATACACCCACAACATTGAAATCAAAATCAAAATCAGACTTTGGCTTTTCGAAAATGAAATCAAATGTAGGCTTAATCAACACTTAGAAAACGTAAATATAGACATCAAACCTTGGCTCTTTGAAGGATTTGTGAAAACTTGACAGAGATGGGTTCGGGTTTGCAGAGATGGAGATGGGTTGTGCGATGAGGTTCGGTGGTTTGCAGAGATGGGTTCAGTGATGAGCAGAGATGGGTTCGGGTTGCTGGGTTGTGCGATAGGGTTCGGTGGTTTGCAGTGATGGGGGTTCGGTGGTGAGCAGAGATGGTTTTACGATGGCAAAGGGATAGGGTGTGCGGTGGAGGTTGTTGTAAATCTGATGGGGTATGCAATGGGGTGTGTCTGCAATAGGAGGGAATTTTCGATGGGGTGAGGCTTGATATCAGATGGGGTGAGGTTTGATTTCAGATGGGGTGTGTCTAAAAGGAAATGGGGTTTTCGATGGGTGGTGTATGATATGAGATGAGGTTTACACAGTGAGTTAGGAAATGGGGTTCATGAGCGCAATTTAGGAAAAAAAAAGGGTATAATGAGTAATTTGAAATTTTATTAAAATTTAGTGGGTGTAAAAAATTATGGGGTGTAAAGAGCAATTAATGGGGTTCATATAGAATTTCCCATAAAATATTTCACTTCATCCCTCTTTTATTTATTTATTTATTATTATTATTTTTTTTAATACAAGTATCACAATGGGAAAGAGGTTTCTCTCTCACACACACACACATGCAAATAATGTGTCATTGAGATTCGAACCTAAAATCAATGCCCTTTTTCTCATTAGGCTAGACCTTGTTGACTAATTTCACTTCATCATTAAATCTTATCAAATTGATGATAGATAATCATATGTGTGTATAAGACTTCATAATCATATTAAGAAGTGAACACAACACTTTATTGTATTAAAAATTAATACTAATTCAATTTGTTATTTATTTAGGAAACTACATAGTGCTTATAAAATCCACGTTAAGCAGTAACTAATCTCAGCTAGCTCATATTATTATATCACTTTTGAATGTTAAATGTGAACCTTAAAAGAATTGAAAAATAGAAAAATAATAGATGATATGACATATGTTTAGATGAGAGAGCGTTTATAGAGTTCGAAAATAAGGGCATTCTCGATGGGCAAAATGAGGGAAGTTCTAATATGAGAGAGGAAAAAATGAGATAAAACAAATAAATACTCAAGGTTTTATTCCTGGAAACTCACGAACAACTTCCCAATGGGTCACCCATCCTGGGATTGCTCTAGCCCAAACTCGCTTAACTTCAGAGTTCCCATGACTCCGAAGCCAATGAGCTCCCAAAAGTCCTTGTGCTAGATGAGGGTGGACATGTACATATAAGGTACATCACCCCTTCTTCGTTGGTCGATATGAGATGTTACATAATAGGCAATTAGTGTAGCAGAATTCCAACGTGAAAGGGGAGGGAGTGGCGGCCGCCTCCTCCTCCTTATCTTCCTCATTCCTTTTTTCTAAAAAATATTTTTTTAAATATAATAATTATTTTTTATAAAATAAAAATATATAGTCTTTAACATTTTAAGAAATAAAATTGATGATTCTTCGAAATAGTTTAGATTGTTTAGTAAACTTGGTAGGGTGTTTAGAGAAAATATAAAGTAAAATACTAGAAAATTATGCTAACTCTCTAACATAGACTAGACTTTACATAAGTTGAATGTGATTTTATACTTTTGTAGTAATCATCTCATGTGAGAGAGTTGTAATAACTCTTGGATGTGTAGTCATTACTCAATGATAAAATGTATGCATGAGTGTGTCTAATCACAACGTTTTGGTGTATATAGAATCACTTTTCTAAAATATAACATTACTATATGTCCAAAATTAAATTTAAAAAAGAAAGAAATATTTTTACTATATCCAAATGAAGCGATATTTGGGTCTGGGTAGCCCAAAACTAATGCAAAATGTAAAAAGGGGCTTCGGAGCCCTATACCCATCAACCTCTTTCGACAACCTATCAAAGCCCTAAGGACAAAATCGGTAATAAAAAAGTTTTAAAATTAGGGTTTTAGCGTTCTATATCCAACTCCGCCTTCAGGTCCTTGAGAGAAGTCGCAGCCTCGAGATCAAACAGGAAGCAAAATGGTACGTTTTCTTTTAGTTTGTTGTACTTGCTTTTCACTGAATTCACCCTTTCTCTTAGTGATGGTGTTATGTAAGGTTTCGGTTTCTCAGTAAATTTGAGAAAAAAGTTGAATGGAGATTTAGAATATTAGTATCATTTGTGTGAGCTTACAGCTTTCGTATTTGTTTGATGATAGCAAAAGGAAGTACTTTGAATTGCATATATATACCATGCAGCTGATTTATAGCTAATTCTTATGTGCTTTAACTAAATTTTGTACCCCATGATTTGGGTGTATATTGACCAATTTCAATTTTGATTTGTGGAGGACATGATAGATATTTAAGTTAAAAACTAAAGATCAGAATTATTTTAAAAGGTTTAGTATTTGGTTCCAATTTAGAATGGGCCTCAATGATTTTGTGTTTTGGAGCTGAATACAAAAGCAGTGGTTCATACAGTTATGATTCTGGAAAATGAACAGCTGACTGTGTATTTCATTTGAAGCATGTCTGGCCATGGTTTGTATAATGTTTTTTCCTGGTGTCCCACCCATTGTTCTTGTATCTTTCTGGCAATATGGATTTAATCCTCATGAAAAGAAAAAAAAGAAGTAATTGACACACTAATAATCTGGTATGGCTGTGTTAAGTGATGGATGGTAGATGTTAAAACATGTGAACATACAAACCTTGTTGATTTTAAATTTGAGAATGTTAATGTATGTACTCTGTCTCTGTACCAACAGCCGAAGCAAATCCATGAGATTAAGGATTTCCTTCTAACTGCAAGAAGGAAGGATGCACGCTCTGTCAAAATCAAGAGGAGCAAAGATGCTGTCAAGTTTAAGGTTCGATGCTCCAAGTACCTTTACACTCTTTGCGTGTTTGATTCGGAGAAGGCTGACAAGTTGAAGCAATCCCTTCCTCCAGGTATAGCATTTCGTTTTCAGTTGTGTAATTTATTATGATTTGCAACTCGCATATGGTCATCTCTGTGAATTTAGGTGTATGAGAAAGCATGCACACATGTGGTTCCTATTGTTTTAATATTCCAGTAATGGAAGAATCAAGGGACTTTCTTTCTTTCTTTCTTTGTTTTTTTGTTTGTTTTTAAGGCTCACTTGTATAACTAACTAGTTTGCTATAATTTTGAATTTGTAGGTTTGAGCGTGCAGGACCTGTGAAGAAGAGATTTGAGTAGCTTGACAAAACCTAAGGAATGCAATGGATTTGTTTTTTGTTGGGAATTTTGAAGAATTTATGGATTCATGCCCTGGTATTTGGGGGTTTATGTGTGGACTTGATTTTTATTTATGGATACTGTGCTGTTTGAGATTTAGTACTTAGAGCTCGTTTGAGACTCCTTATCTAAGAAGTACTTCTGCTCATAAGCGCGTTTATTATAAAAATCTTGAATTTTCATAAAAAATTCAAGAAGAACTAAGTATGTTTAAAATTTTCTGCTAAATACTGTTAGAAGTGCTTTTAATTATCAGGGTTTTTGGCTCTTTTTGAAGCAATTCCAAATACGGCTAAGTGGTTGGGTGATTGAAAAAAAAGCATTACGAGAGTCGAGAGGTTGACTTGTTAAAACATAAATAACGACACAAATAGCAAGTCCAATGAAAGTTGAGTGTCTATCAATCTATCAGCAATTAAATTATAGATTCCTTAGGAATATCCTTGTTAGATGCCATAACTAGTAGGTATCATAATTATCCAACCTATCTCAGTAGGTTGGGCGTTAACGTATGTGTCGTATTTGGAAGGGCCTCGTTTCTGTTTTAATATGGCAAGTGTTGTCTTTGGTGGACGGTCAGGTACAACCGCAGAGGTAGGTGAACACGTGCTCTGTTTCATTTCACGTTATTTCTTAGGAATAAGATAAGTAATGCCTTCCTGTTGATACAAATTGGAATTGGAATTGCAATACAATTTTACAAAGGAGGAAGAGAAGAAATAAAGAAACAACTGCAAACTGTAAACCAAGTCAAAATGGAAGGGCGGGCTTTCAGTTAGTCTAGTCTCAGCCTCTCTCCCATTGACACTGTCGGTAGGTTGGTTGGTGGTGGGCTCTTTTAATTAACTTCTATAGAACAAGAGCAACGTCACAATTCTCTTCTTCTCAGTTCCAAGTCCAACAACTGCCACTCTTCGACTAAGACATAAAACACCATATTTCCAATTTCCACCAAATAACAGGGAAGGGAGGGCAGAGTCGGAGTGGAATGGGAGCGCGCTGCTTCTGCCCCTGTTTCGACTTCGACGACCACTACAATCGCAATGCCCAAACCGAGCTCGACCCCGTCCTACTCGTGTCCGGCATCGGAGGCTCCATTCTGCATTCCAAGAGGAAGAAGCTCGGGTTCGACACCCGGGTTTGGGTTCGGATCCTACTGGCCGACTTGGAGTTCAAGAAGAAGCTCTGGTCTGTCTATAATCCCCAAACAGGTTCCTTCCCCTTCTCTTTCTCTCTCTAATATGGAATATCTGTACCTATATAATATAACAGGAGGAGGGCTTTGTTTGGTTGGTGACAAGGTAGAGGAACAGGAGAGGAGAGTCAAGTGAGATGAGTGTTGTTGGTTTTTCCTTTTTACTATTCATAGTTGGATTCCTTGTTTCGGGTGGCAATTGGAAAAGAAAATGTGACTAGGGCTGGCTAGCAAGGGGAAACAAAGCAACTGTGGAATTTTGTCAATCATCTGTTTGTTTGTATTTACATGATACTTACTGTTAGTAATATTTTTCTTCTACAAAAATCTCAACTTTTAAACCATCTTCTTTAATACTAATCATAGCTAATTATATTCTATGATATCCAAACTGATATTCAGATCAATTGGATACTCAAACATGCTTCATCTATGTTCTAACAATTTCATTCAAAATTTATATATCAGAGTCATAATTTTATTTGAAGAGCTACTAATACCATCATTTCGCTTCAATGTACATGAATGAAACACCAAACCCAACGGGTTGGTTTGGTATGGTAGAATTTGAATCATAAAAGTAAGGTAAAACTTTCATTCTAGGGAACTAACAGATTCATCCCCAATTTTGCATCTCTTATCATTGTCTAAGTTTTCCTTTGATGTCCCCGTTTCTGCTTGTATTTCCAGGTTATACAGAAACACTAGACAAAGACACTGAAATTGTGGTCCCGGATGACGATTATGGGCTATACGCAATTGATATTCTAGATCCTTCTTGGGTAAGAATTATATGGGTTCTCATAGTTTGGTTTATGCATCATATAATTTTACGACCTCACTAAATTCGAGGTTTTTGCCCTTTTGAAAATGATGACTATGGAAGGGTCTTTTGACTTTTGAATGTAGCACACTAGTGATTGTGGAACTCTTCTGTTTCGGTGAAGTTGGGTTGATGAATAGCATTAGAAACATGCAACTGTTTTTGCACCTTTAAATGACAAACTTGATTTTTTATTTTACTATTTCTCGGAAATTAAATTCTTATATTAATTTTTTTATTTTTATTTTTATAATTGTTTCCAGTTTGTGAAATGCATACATTTGAAAGAGGTATACCAGTTCCATGATATGATTGATATGCTAGTGGGATGTGGGTATAAGAAAGGAACCACTTTGTTTGGATATGGCTATGATTTCCGACAAAGCAATAGGTAATTTATTTTCAACTGGTTACTTCTTTCTGGGTGGTGGAAGTTTATCTTATAACATATATAATCCGAAATCGACAATTACAGGTATTCGACTATCATGACAATGTCTGACAACCAGGTTCCTTCTTTCTACTAATCTAACCACCATGGTTCTTGTGTTAGCAGAATTGACAAGTTAATGGAAGGTCTTAAGGTGAAATTGGAAACTGCTTACAAGGCTTCTGGGGGTAGAAAAGTAAATATAATTTCGCATTCAATGGGTGGACTGCTAGTCACATGTTTTATGTCCCTCCATAATGACGTGCGCATACTTTCTCTTAGTGGCTAGTTGATGTTTATGAATTTTTATCAAATATATGCAGAAAATATAAACTCCTCATCTTGAAAGAGGCATGACCGATGGTTTAAATCGTTCATCGGCAGGTATTTTTGAAGTATGTGTGTAAATGGATTTGCATAGCTTGCCCTTTTCAAGGTAGTTTCCTTTTTCCCGTTTGTGTTCATATTTGGACTGATGATCTTTAATGTATAATGTCAATAGTTCTTGAAATCTGTCCATTGAATCTTCTCAGGTTGCTAGAAATATTTTCACTTTCGGTCTTTTGATCAAAATCACAACAGTAGTTTTTTACTATCCTTTCTGTTAATAGTGGGTTATATTTTATCTTCTTATTTATCATCAAACATCATTACTTGCTTGAAAGATGTAACCGCAACAGACTGGAACTAATAGCATTTGGTTTTGCTACCCCTGAACAAAAAAGTATGTGTCCAATCCAAATTTTCATGAAAAAAATATATGTTTTTTAGGTTTTAGACATAAAAAAAATTTCACTTTTGGAAAAAGCCAAAGCTTTTTCAAAAAAGACAAAAAAACCACTCAACTTTCAAATCAAAGACATGCAAATGTATTGGATTCCTCAGGAAATCTAAAAATAAATAAGGGCATTTTTGTCTATTTTTGCTTCTTTTAAAATTTTTCTCTCTCCTTTTGCTTTTTCCAAAATGTCCCAAAAAATATTCAACCTGCAAAGCTTTAGATGAAAATTAAGGTGAAGAAACAATTACATGCCTTCACATCAATTTAGGAAAGAGTCTGAGCCCACTGTTGGTAGGCTGTAGACTGCAAAAACTTATTATGAACCTTAATGGTTTTTAAATATGTTTTTGTCCTTGACTATTGATTACAAAATTCAATTTACAGGTGCACCAGGATGCATCAATGACTCTCTCTTAACTGGATTGCAGTTTGTTGAAGGCTTGGAGAGCTACTTTTTCGTATCAAGGTGGACTATGCACCAGCTGGTAGTACATTAAATCAAGCTAACTTGGCTTCATGTGTGTATTTAAACTTAATAATAGGAAAATCAGTATCTCAAGTGGAAGCATGACATGCTGTGAATGAGTCTTTATCTTTTAGTAACAATACAAATCAAACAAATTTATAAATGGAAGTACATGAATACTGAGTTGCCACTAGGAAATGCACCCTTCATCTGATCCAAGTCAATATGCTCTAACTGTGTGCAAGAGAATCCCCAACATGTTTCACAATGGCACCCATGAAACACATTTTTTAGGCATTTGAACACCATAAAAAATTGTTCAGTGTTCTTGTAATATGTAACTGAATTGCATACATATTTTTTATTTTTTAGGAAGTGGCGGATATCCCTCCACCTAATTAATGTAACAGCATTTTATCCATGATGAAGAAATTATAGTTGATTTTTTTCATCCATATATCAAGTTTTGGGCTACATTTTTCACTTGTTACAGTGATTTATTCTCTTAGATGTTTGCTACTTTTGTGAAGAACTAAACCTGACTTTATTTTCGCATATAGTTGGTTGAGTGCCCATCAATCTATGAGATGCTGGCAAATCCTAAATTTGATTGGAAAGAGCTGCCAGAAATTCAGGTTTGGAGGAAGCATTCTAAGGATGGGGAAACTTTTGTGGATCTGGAGTCTTATGGCCCAATTGAAAGCATACCTTTGTTTGAAGAAGCATTGAAACATAATGAGGTACCACTCTTTAGAGGAAAGTTCTCAAAATTTCTTGTACCAAAGCATCTGTGTGTCATTTTAGCTTGTCTTGTTATCTTGAATTTCCGGTGCTTATATTTTGAACTGTAGTTAGGAAAAACATATTATATCTAATATCATCAAATCCCATACTTATCAAAGCTCATATAATTTTTGTGGGTGATAAGGACTATGTTTGCACTATAGACAAGTTTAGCGGTTGCAAAATATAAAATAATTTTCCAATAGTGTAGTACGCTGATCATGTCGTCTATTCCAGTTGACAATAGTTGATTTGCTGGGTATTTTCATGTTCACCTTTACAGTCCCTGGAAAGCAATGACCATACTCCTGTGCCTAAATTTTTCCTTATGTTTTGGGATGCAATTGTACTCTGAAATTTGTCTCCCTGCATATATCTTAGTGTCTCAAAATTACTTGTCTCCCTTAACCAATAGCCAGAGCTTATGTCAATCTCTTTCACTGCAGCTAAGTTATGATGGTAAAACGGTTGCTTTGCCATTTAACTTTTCTATTCTCAGATGGGCTGCTGAGACTCGCCAGGTTTTAAACAATGCTAAACTACCAGATGGAGTCTGCTTCTATAACATTTATGGAACATCATTCGACACACCTTTTGATGTTTGGTATGTAAGAGAACTACTTTATTTAAATCAAAACAAGAGACTTGAACAGGGTTTGTAACCCATGGTATGACTGGTCAACCATTGCTCAATCTCTTTCACTGCTGCTAAGTGTCTGACATTTGTACTACTAATGCAGCTATGGTTCGAAGACATCTCCAATTGAGGACTTGTCTGAAATATGCCATTCAATGGTGAGTCATGTACTGTTTGTCAAATCGTGAATTTTCTTTAAAGTCATGTGTGAAGTTATCCTATGGGTTCAAACAACCTAAATCCTCTGCCCTTTGGTCTCCGATCGCTGGCATTGTCATTGTCATTGATATCGTCAACCCTATCATTGTTAGAGAGAGTTGTATACTTGTACCTGAGTTTGAGCTTTATTTTTGAAAAATTTTAGTCCACGTTGTCAAATATTATCCAGACTCTGAAGTTCTAATCTGCATTGTTTTATTTTATTGTCACAGTTGCTTTCTATTTCTTGTTGTTTCTATTTTATCTGACACATTAAATGCATTTAGCCTTGACTCTTATGCCCTGCTTTACTTGCGCCTCTAAATTTCTGATTAAGTCATTTGCTGCTTTATCCAGCTACGAATCAAATAATAACTTCCAGTTTTGACACTCAGCATGTCCCTTGGATGTTAATATTTTTATCCGCTTTGTGCTATCTATGATTTACATGATTTCTTTCTTTCTTTCCAGCCTCAATATTCTTATGTGGATGGAGATGAAACAGTTCCGGCTGAGTCAGCAAAGGTGCTCTATCTGACCTGTATTCTTAGTTCTTATTGGCTGTAATATATACTGTATCCAGTAGTTCCCTCTGCGCTTTATTTGCAAGCACTAGTGGTTTCTGAATTTGAGCGAATTTTATCGAACATTTTTTCTTCCTATTCCACAGGCAGATGGATTTGCTGCAGTTGAAAGAGTAGCAATAGCTGCAAGACACAGGGAACTATTGCGTGATAAAACAGTTTTTCAACATATCCAAAGGTGGTTGGGAGTTGAACAGAGGGTCATCATATGTTCTAAGACATCCAGAGTTGCAGATGCCTCTTCAAAATAAGCGCGTGAATGAGTGAAATCCTTTTCTGCTTGAAAAGGGACACTTGTTTCACATATTTATGTTCAAGTTATAAATAACTGTGATAGCACCATAAACTTGAACTGAATTCGTTATTGCTGGGCCTTATTTGTTATTTGAATGAATGGTAGTCTTGGTGTACGGAGAGCATGTTTCCTTGAACAATTACTCTAAAGCACATTACATACACTAAACAGGCTGCATTATGCTCAGTATTTTTCAATGTTTCAATTTCATGATTGTCGTTTTCCCAAACGCGATACCTATGTACTTATACTAGGGAATGAGCACAAAAGTTCTTATTTTTTCTTTGGGTGGCTGAAGGGAATGAGCAGAAATGTTGTGAATTGTATTTTGGCATGGAATTGAAGCCAGTTCCTTAACATTTTATTTATCACCGAAACGTGTTTGTAGATCCCCACCCATGTCTTACTCTTGCAATTGGCCACCAGCTGCAGCCTCATGTCCACGGTTGACAAATCTTGCCCCATTGGTATTACTAATACTACATGGCTGGCCAGCCAGACTAATTAAGCTACTCGACCGATATTCACACTATCAGATCACATCCATTTAATTTTAACCTTGTTCAAATTAATGTTGTAATTGAATATATGCAGCAGAAGAAACTTTGGTTAATTATATATAATGCAAACTCTGCAGACTGCAGGAACATGGTAATTGCCTCATTGGTGTTGTGTGGTGCAGATGCAGAATGAAACTTTGCATTGTTAATATGAATTTTGAATATAATGTTATATGTTTATAGGGAAACACAACACAAGGATATATGGATACATTCGCCCAACCCAATCAAATCAAAGTATGCAAAGAAGGAAGGAGCCAGCCCAGAGATATATATATCATAAATAAAACTAACAATCTCTCTCTCTCTCTCATTCTCTCTCTCTCATGAGTCATGACTCATGTATCCAGTATACCTGGTGGTCAGAGATTTAAAAATAATTAATACAAGGCAGGCACCTTAAGTCACACACAAAATCATGTCCCTATACTTGTATTGTAATTAAGTTTGAGTTCATGCATGCCTAATTGTTTGCTTTCTCTCCTTTTAAATTTTAATGAGAGATAGAGAGAGAGAGAGTGTGTGTGTTAATGGGCACATTTATATACTAAGCAATGGCAAGGAAGAAGATCAACTTGGGACCTGGAGTACCAATCAGTAACAACCAACACTTAAATCCAATCCAATCCAAGATATATTTTGCTTGCTTGCAAGTTCAAGAAATATTTCCCTTTCTTTTTTCTCTCACTTTTATTCATTTTTTAAGATTTTTTATTTAGAGGAAGAGAGAGAGAGGTGGAAGGATGCATGGTCAAAGGTCAAAAAGGTTTGAATCCCAAACAGAGTTTTAGTGGGGTTTTGGGTTTCGAGGTAATAATAATAATCAAATAAAATTGAGAGAGAGAGATGAATGAATATGAATGAATGAAAAGCCCGAGAAAGAAAGAGAGGAGAATGAGCATTCCAAGGACTTGTAGTACTTACTGGTAGGGTAGCTGATGGGAGGGAGAGGATTCTCTTATCTCTTCTCTCCTATTTGAGGCAGTCACACAGACACAGACACCCATGAGGAGGCTTGCATGCAGCAGCTGAGCTCTCTCTCATCCCATTCCCAGGTATAATATTAATTATTAATAATTGAGCTCTCTCTCATCCTAAATCCCATCTAATTTCTCCCTCTGTCTCTGTCTCTTGGTGGCTAGCTAGCTACTTGACTTTTACTGCATTGGGTTTTTGTGCCTTGTCGTCTACGTGAGGGAGGAACAAGAACAGGGAATGGTCCATGATCATCAACACCATGTATTCATCATATACTTGTTTCCGCAGCCAAAGCAGAAAATACAAATTTTTAGAGTTTTAAATTTGTATGGATTTGCATATGATATTCAGAACATTTGTCTAACACAAGTATGACAGACAGACAAATATTTCAAATATAGAAAAGTGCAAATAAGTTCGTCAAGAAAAGAAGAAAAAGAAGAACACCGCATGGGACGGGAAATGAGGGGTTGGAACCCTTTTAACTTTTAAGCTTTAATAACTAAAGTTTTAATTTTCTTCCTTCCATGGGGAGGGGTGGAATTAATAAAGCTCTTATTTGATAATGAGAGAGAGAGAGAGAGAGAGAGAGAGAGAGAGAGGGGTTGCATGAGATGGATAAGGGTGCAACCGCAAGCACAGAGAGAGAGAGAGAGAGAGAGAGAGAGAGAGAGAGAGAAGTAGTGATTATTTAAGCAAATAATATAAAATCTTTGACGCAGTGGAGGGTGTGGGTGTGTGGTGTTTATTATATACGGTATTCTTTCCAAGAAAGCACGGGTGCTCCGCTGATTTCTCCAATGCAATCCCAGTTCCCACAGGCCTTGCTCTTTGCCTTTGCCTTTGCCTTACCCCTCTCTCTCCCTATGTAATTCCAGTCATCATATAATGTATAATTATTTAACTACGTACTAATTTTTTATTTTTATTTACCAAGATATAACTACGTACTAATAACTACAAAACTACTGTACTATACATACATAATTATTAATTCAAGGATTTTATTTTGTCTGTCAAATTCTGATGGCAACAACATAAACCGTTTCTAATATTAGATTAGACTGCACTTTTGATCGAATTCTTAGAGCATTCACAGTGGATTCTCTAAATAATCTATTTAGATAAAATTTAGGGAGGAAGTGAAGAAACCCAACTCCAACCATACTCCCTATCCAACTCCTAAAATAAGGAGACCTCTAAAAGCTCCTAAATATGAGAAGAAAGAAATGACTGCTAGTGGCTCCATTTAATTAAATATTTCTTTACTTTAATGTTATTTTAAGTATTTATTTAATGCTAATTAACTATTTATCATTATTATTTTATATGAAAAAGGAGCATTTATGATAAACTAAAAAAAAGAAATAAATTATTTATGATTCCCTAAACTAGAGGAAAATTGCTTGAAGTTAATATATATATATATATATATATCTCCTACCACAAAGAAACAAACAAAAGCCAATAATACGTACGTTTCCGCTCATTTTCCTTTGTTTTCAAGCAAACTAGAAAACTATACGAAACGAAACCAATAGTGGACATAATGCACATTCGACATTTGATTACTTAGATTATAAATACACAAGACAATCATATGTGTCTATCATAATGATCCCATTCTATTGAGGGATCTCTTAAATATTACTTGAGGGACACCCTTTAGGGTCCCTTAAGATTTTTTTTTTTTTTTTCAAAGATCTAAACCATCTATTTTTTAAGTCTACATTCATAGATCATCCTTGCAAAAAGAAAAAAGAAAAAAAAGAAGACAAATTAGAAACCGTTTCGATATCCAATTGTGTCGTACAAAATCAATAATCACGGTGCTTCAAGAAAGTACTAAAATTTCAATAATTCAATTGAGTGGTCAAATGATATCAGATTCAAGTAATTTTTTTTGTTTTTTGTTTTTTTGGGTACAAATGATCTTTAAATGAGTATCTACAAAATAAACAGTTTGGATTAGTGAAATACAATACAGAGTGAGCCTTACAAATGATGTCCCTCAAATAAGCTTATTTGAAGGACCCTTCAACTGAAACTCTATGATCACATATACAATATATATGAAATATTGATCAAGTTATTCAAAATTATTACAAAAGCTGCTGAAATTGGTGTTAATAAAACTTTCCGAGGATCTATTAGAATATTCGATCTCAAGTTCCCAAAATTGATAGCAAATGAGAAAGTACATCTCACATGATATTTATGAACTTGAGATACACAGATCCCTTGTGAAATTTGGAAGGCCATCTAGTAATTAGCACGAACAAATTCAAAAGAAAAAAAAGAAAAACCTATCTTCCCCAGCTAGCTAATTGAGGTGATCTAGTAATTAGCATAGAAGCACAAGTCAACTGTATAAAATATTATGTGTCATTCCAGACGGTGAAAGTAGGAGGCATGTTGATGTTACTGTTAGTCGACGTTGGAACTGCTGTGGGCATCCAATTGTTACATTGCCCTGCTTCATGAATATCATATGCGCTGCCGCCCTTGGCCACACCTGCGGATGATACTGATGACACTGATGACGATTGCGGCGGGTGCTGCGGAAGATAATACAAGTTCCTTGCATGATTATTATAAGCATCCCCAGTAACATTTGCAGCATTAGCAGAAGTAGTAGTTGAGCCAAACACATTTTCAAATCCAAGCGCCACCGCCTTCACCTGATGATCATGATTAGTGCCATCTCCAAAACCATTATTGTGATCATTAGATATAACTGTACCCATTGGGATTATATAGCCACCATGATCTCCTCCTCCTCCTCCTCCTCCATTAGTAGCAGTAGCAGTGCTATACATGACAGAGTTAGAGCCTGAGCTATGTTCCATAGAATCCATACCAGTTGCCTGAAAGAAATTGTGGCTACTTCCTAATTGAAGTAGTTGATGATGATGAAGATCTTGATCCTGATCCTGCTGCTGCTGCTGATGCTGATGATGATGATAAAAGCTTTGAGGAGCAGTGTTGGAATGAATGTCTTGCTCTTGCTCTTGCTTGCACCAAACCCTCTGCCCACTGTTATTATTATATGGTACTAGTGATGAGTAGTAGTGCATGCCAAAAGGCGTATGATGAGCAGCAGCAGCTGATTGGTTAAATGCAAGAGTTGGCCAACCGCCTGCTGTACCACTACCATAGTTATCAGCTGCAGCAGTGCCACTACCCATGATCAGCTGCTGCTGCTGCTGATGATGATATTGATCATGACAAGTGCCAGTACTGCCATTCATCATCATCATCATCATCTTGTCATGATGATCATCTGTTGGTGCTGATCTGTTGTGTCCATCAACTAGCAGACTCATCTCATGATGTTGATGTTGAGCAGCCTGCTCTACGTCTTTCAATCGCTTTGCAGCCCCACCTATGGGCAATGTGCTGCTATCCAGAATCGACTTCACATCATATCTGGTCATGTCAAAGTTTGTTACTGCATTGAGTCCACGGAACTTTATGGCTGCAATGTCATATGCCTCTGCTGCTTCTTCTTGAGTACCTAGATATTTTATTTCATTAAAATCTTATCAAAACTTGCGTACGTATTTTCCTCTAGACACATTAATTTGTTTCAGAAGGGAATCATATATATGATAGATAGAGGTAGCTAGACTGAATGAATAATTTCAAGGTCAAATGATATTGCAGGAAAAGATAAGATAGAGAAGTTACTAAATGTTCCCAGGTAGAGATCTTTGTTCCCTGCGACTCGGCCAATCCTTGCTTGCCATCTCCCATGCTGGTGGTGTCTGTTTATGCACAAGGAAAAAAATCAATTACTCTGATATAGGCACTTGACATTCTCTGTCTTTGTTACATACCTTGTTACCCCTCGATAAATGGATGCACCACGAGAGAAGCCACTACTCTTCCTTCTTAAAGATGCAACATACTCCTGTCTCGTCATGTGCTTCATTTCGTCTATCTCTTTCTCATAGTTGCTGATCTGGCATTAATTATCAAATTAAAGCCATAATACTAAAAGGTTGTCCAGTGTCTCATACATATTTATCAGATAATAATCAATTAAAGCCATGCATGCACCAAAAGTATTTCTATTATCTTAAATATCTCTGGGATTACTTTAAATATTTTCCCTTTTATATAATAATTAACTGCTGGGAATCGAGGAGTGTATGTATAAAGTATTTCTAATGTATTAATTATGTATTGAAGATACTCTCTGTAAAAAACTTTCTCCAGATTCGAATACCAAGCTATAAACAAGTGCATGAGAGCATGTGAATACCAATGCCGACATTGAGCAGATTTTGCTCCACAAAAACAAAAATAGGTAAAATGTTTGAGAATTCTTTTCTTCTTTTTTTTTTAACTCACCGGGAAGTTGGTAGTGGTTGTGGTACCCCAATATTTCAATGCTGCTAAGTCATAAGCTCTAGCTGCCTTTTCTTCCTTGTCATAACCACCTACGGATCGAGGATGCATGCATTCAATTAAAAATGGCATACTTATATGAAATGAGGAAGTAAAAATCTCTACGATAATGGGAAAATTATATATAGAAAAGGTATACAACTTTGTACATACATACCCAGATAAACTGCAAGGAGGATTGAGATGGAAAGCCGGCCCAGATGAAGAGAATTTACACCACATCACACGAGACCCATAAAAGAAAAGCACTATTAGTTAATTCAAAACATGCACGATACCATCGCTGTATCTTTAAATTACATAATTAAATCAATAAACTCGAAAAGGAACAACAATTAACTAGCTACGTACCTTGCCTTCCCTTGCGAGTTTGTCCTTCTCTCCGGCAACTATTATCCCAGAGATGAGCTTCATATCTACCTGTCCATCTGTGCCTGTACGCATTGAAACAAATAAATAAGCCCTAATTAATAGTAATAATTAATGAAAGGCATTAATAATTAATAATAAAAATGATTAAGAGACAGCTAGAATGAAAACTATTAATTACCTGGTTACACCACGGTATATAGAAGTCCTCTGTCCAAAAGTATCAACGGACTTTCTGGGCACGGCCTCAATAGCAGTAGCAGTAGTACTAGTAGTCTGGCTATCGATCCCGGGCGGAGGAGCGGTTGAGGTGGTGGTCCTAACAACTGCCAGCTTGTTATTATCATTACAAGTATTATCTCGATCTGATGAACAAGTTTCTCCAGTAGCAGCAGCAGCAGCACTAGTAGTATTATGATGAGTGTGAGATCCAGTACTCATCGAAAGCGAAAGAGTCTGTACTGCACTACTACTAGTAGTTGTTGTAGTATCGGTGGTATTAATATCGTTCTTGTTGATGCGCTGCTGATGATCATGATGGTCATGATGATGAGGTAGTATTACTGGTGCTGGTTGATTTCTCAGCCATGTCTTGATCATGGAAAGCCCAATATTAGAGCTACTAGTACTTGTACTGCTGGTGCTATTATTATTGTATACATGCGTGCCACTACTACTACTCTGGCCGCCGATGTGGTGCTCATCGGCAACGAAGGAGTGTCGGCCAAGGAAGTTTTCAAGCTTTGGCTGTTGATGATGATTTTCGAGGTTTTGGCTTCTGTACGAATTGTTGCTTCCCATCAGCATAGACAGGTGGTCTGAAGTCGTCTTGTAGGTGCTGCTATCTGATGAGTTCATATTACTCCAATCTGCACCTGATATACAATATATTAATTAATATGGTAGACCAAACTATATATTAATTAAAATTTACGATTAATATATCTGGTAATTTTTAAGATGATGATCATCAAGGAAGCCCCAAATGAAATGACAGAAATAGAAAAATTAAAAATAAAATAAAAAGTTTTAAAAGAAAGAATTAGAAGAAAGAGCTTCCAGTGATATATACGTCTTTCCTTATTTTCTTTCACTTGTATAGTTCTATACTGATCTATCTGTGAGAAGTGAGAACAAAATATGTACATAGAGATATTGAATGGGGTTAGGGGTTAGGGTTTTATTCAGAGCAGTGGTGTATAATTAACCTTGGGAGTGAATATTGGTGGTGTTGAATGCAGCAGCTTGATGAAGCATGCCAAAAGGTGGAGGGATGAGGTGGTTGTGAGAATGATTATTAGGAACAGCAGCAGCAGTAGTAGTAGCGGATGAGTCATCATGAGAAGTGAGATCAAAGCAGCCTCCGGAGACATCGGTACCGGAGATGTCATCGGAGTACTTGAAGCCAAGGCGAGAGACTAGTGTGGCGGTCTGATCATCAGATAACTCATGGCCGTCATGATGATGATCGACTTCTTGAGGGGAAAGAGAGAAACCCAACCAGTTCATGGAACCCATCAAATATATATATGTATGTATGTATGTTGTTAAAAAATCAGGATCAGAACTTGTTTGATGAATTAATGGTTGTAGCTCTAGCTAGTAAAAGAAAAATGATATATCAGAGCAGAGAGAGGGCGGTCAGGACTGAGGAGTGTAGCTAGCTATTGCTTCTCCATGCATGAAGAAGAAGAAGAAGAAGAAGATATGATGAAGTAGCTTAGCTTATTACTAGAGGAGGAGCAAGTTGTACTGTTTTAAGAGAGGAAAGAGAGGATCCATTTCCATGGCCGTATATGGGTATAAGCTACTGCAACTAAAGGAAGAAGAGGAAAGGTCAAAAAATTTGCAGACCTATAATTAATTGAAAATGACAATCATTTCTTCCAATGCAACAATCTTTTATTTATTTCTCTCTCTCTCTCTCTCTCTCTCTCTCTTCTTCCCCCCTTCTCCTCTTTCACACGTACGGGCGCTTGCAGGATCTTTAATCAAACTCATATATATATGATTAATGACAATAGGACATGATGAGTGTGATACTGTAACTTTGCACCTCATAATTATTAATGTTAATATCCAAAAAAAAAGGAAAATAAAACAAAAGGTGCCGAGGGTTAAGAAAATAATACTAATAATAATTAAGAATAAGAATAATAAATAGGTACACGTACGAGGGTAAGAAAACAATATGATTATTCAATTGATTTTCGAAGGAGGTCCATTGTATAGTATTGCTGTAAATGCTTGTTTAAACTAGTTAGACATGAGCATGTGTGCTTTCGTAGCCTTAAAACAAACTAATTATATCATTTGTCCCCTTGTGTGCTTCTTGCTTTTCATTATTACTTTTCCTTTTGGATATGAACTTTGAAAGATATTATCCCTGACCCGATTCTATTTCGTAACCTCAATCCTGATCACCAATAATAAATTATTATTATTATTATCGTATATCATATATGTAAGTCATTACTAGTGTGAATTAACCAACCACACAGAGAGAGAGAGAGAGAGAGAGAGATCTCTCCACTTTCCTTCCATTTGAATGCATGATCAGTATCTCTCTCTCTCCCCCTCTTCAATTTGCTTGCTGTGAAACACCTGTGCAGTAGAAGAATATGATATTAAATAAATTTGATTAATTATATATATCTGACAAAGTGTGACAAAAAACCCACACGCAGTCCCCTCTCCTGTCCACGCCCATTTATTCATGCCCATTTGGACATTAGTCATTTCATGTCAGATACATATGTTTTCAGACAGACAGACTCATCATCATCACTATTCGACCCCCTCCTTCCAGCCCAGAAAAACTTTATTATAACAGGAATAATATTTTTATTATTATTTTTAATTAATAATATAATAATATGTGAAAAAGTTATTCCACGTGTTATTGCTAACAATAACAAAAAAGTTATATCCGTTGCATGACTCTTTCC